AATTAACCTTGGCGAACAGATGATTAAGGCAAATTAAACTAGAATTTTCTCCTTTTTTTCTTCTTTTTTTTCATCTGTTTTTAATTCGACGAGTAACGCAGGTGTGTCGGCTCCTGAGACACGTGCACGTCCACACCCGGGATTAAATTTTCTGCCACTCACCGATCGTTCTCCCGGACCAGAGGATTCCGTGGAGGAGGAGAAGGAAGAGGAGGAGGAAGGAAGAGAAGAAGGAGGAGGAGGAGAAGGAGAAAGAGAAGAACGAAGATGAGGAAGAGGGTGAAGAAAAAAAATAAAACTATTTTTTTTTTTTTTTAAGTCATGCAAATGGCGAGTGTGACGTATTTAAATCTGGACATGTTTATATCCGTATTTCTGTAGCGAGACCGTCTCCGCTGGCGCTAAAAGACCGTGACGGGGCGGTTTACTTTGTGTGGGAGTCGCCTGCGTGATCACGGCTAGAATTGCCTCGTTCGAGAAATCTTGCAAGCTGTGCACGAGGAAAAATCCGCTCCAACTCTAGAAAAGATATAAATGGAATTAACGCCCGATTTGACTTTTTTTTTACTTTTGAAAAAGCCCGAATGACAGCTGTGTGTGGGGGGGGGATGTACGAGTGAGCATTTTTTTTTTTCTTTTCTTTTTTTATGACTTTAAAAGCCGCAGTGCCCCGCCCTAGAGTTTTACATGTTGCTTAAACTGAAAACAAAAATAAATAAATAAAATAAAGATACTTTAAAGTACCTTTACCGTATACCATTTGTAAAGTATGGCTGAGGAGTATGTTAAGGGAAATGCAATTAAGTGTAATGGGTGAAAAAGGGGCTTAAATTATTTAATGGGGATTCTAAGCTAACTCGTAAAGGGAGATTATTAGAACCTGAAATCGAAACACTTGGTCCAGATATTCGATCTTAATTGGAAGAAGCAGAGAGAGAAAGAGCATAATTGGATTTGAAATTAGGACGGCGTAACTGGAATAGGGTAAACACGAGGCCCTCGGAACGCGTGAGCCAAATTGAGTAAGATGGGGATAGGATCTGTGATTTTTTTTTATTTTTACGAGTAGGATTTGCGAGAAGTGTGTGCAGAGGTTATTTTTAAAAACCGCAAGTTCACACCGTGATATAATTTTATGGGCATAAGTTGCATCATCATCATCTTCATCTCCCTATTTCTCTCTTTTTTCTATTTCTCTCTCTCCATCCCTCTGTGACATGCACATAAGCACGATTTGTCATTAGACCAAAAGGACACATTAGACCACGTGGTCAATATGGAACCATCCCTTTAGTGAGGCCTAGATGACGATTACATCTGACCTCGCCTGACCCTTGAGTGCGCTCTCAGGAATCACCGTGGCCAGGTCTCCCCCAGCCTCCGACCCCCGGGGCTGGCTGACCGGACACGCATCCCCGCGCTCAGCGCTTGCTCCAAGGCATCGCCTCTCTTCTTCATTCACTTCGTTGTACTCTTCCTGAAATAAAAAGTCAAGCTGTGGAATCAGTACCAATCATAGCCGTTGTACTAAGGCTCTACATCTTGCATCACTCTCTTCCCTCTCTTTATATCTCTTCATCTTCTGAGATGTAACAGTACAGTAGAGAAAGGAAGGAGAGGATGATGTTAATGAAATATCTGACGGGCATTAATGGTGTAGATTGAGATCAAGATGGTAAACAAACTGATAAAATTTGGTAATAACGGTAATAATAGTAGTAATAATAATGATAACCGTAACAGATGATGATGATGCTAATAACTGTAACAGTAGTAGTAGTAGTAATAATAATAATAATGATAATAATAATAATAATAACAATAATAATAATAATAATAATAATAATAAATGTAACAGCAGTAAATTGCCTGGAGTCGGGAAGCCCGGAGCGCCGTCGCCAGACAGACGAGGAAGCGACCCACGGAGGGAGGGGGGAAAGGAGGGAGGAGGGAGTGAGAGGGGGAGGAGGGAGGAGACGGAAGGGGAGTGAGAGGATGGGGGGAGGGAGGGACTGGACGGAGAATAGGGGGGGGGGGAGGTGTGCTTTGCTTGGGATTCACTTGATTTGATTTCCGTATTACTGTTTTGTTTGTGTTGCTTGAGGCTTTTTATGGTGGTGATGATGATGCTGATGCTGATGATGATATTACTATTATTATCCTTATCAGCATTTTTATTATTATGTTCCCAGATATAATTGGTTGTTATCAGTATTTTTTTGTTGTTGTTATTATTATTATTATTATTATTATTATTATTAAATATTATTATTATTATTGTTAATGTGATAAATCATCATCCTCACCATTATCATTATCATTATTATTATTACCATTACTAATGCTATTATTATTGCTGTTACTATTACTATTTACTATTTGCTATAACTGTTGCTTTTGCTATTAGTCTTTATTATAGTTTCTGTGGTAATTATGATTATTACCCTTACTATTACAAGTAGTAGGAGTTGCAGTTGTTGCAGTAGCAATAGCACTGTTGTTAGTACATTAATCTGAATACAATTTTTTCTGTAGATGCTGAGGTTAAGTGTTTTTAATGAGAAACAAAGGACACTAGAAAAAAAAAACATGATATAAGAAAAATGTATTCTAAAGGCAAGCATGTCTGTTAATTGAGTACATTACCTTTTTTTTTTATTTATTTATTTATTTTATACTGACTTGTGAAGGGGGGGGGGGGGGTAGGAGGAAAAGAGGATTCAAATTCCAGCTCGGATTTACCCTAATTTGGGGGGGGGGGGGGACAAACTGCGGCAAAAAGGTTCTGTCCCTGTAGCATCCTCTTTGTGTGGGTGCGTTTGTATCTGTCTTTCTTTCTTTCTTTCTTTCTCTTGTTTCTTATTCCTTTTTTTTTTTTTTTTTTTTTTTTTTACTCTCTTCTCTAATTTCTTTTTCTTTTTTACTCCTCTATACACCCCTCTTCTCTCTCTACTCTCATCTTTCTCTCTTTACCTCTGTTATCTTCTATTCTCTTGTCTCCTCTCTCTCTCTCTCTCTCTCTCTCTCTCTCTCTCTCTCTCTCTCTCTCTCTCTCTCTCTCTCTCTCTCTCTCTCTCTCTCTTCTCTCTCTCTCTCTTTCTCTCTCTCTCTCTTTTCTTTCTCTCTCTCTCTCTTTCTCTCTCTCTCTCTTTCTCCTCTCTCTCTCTCTCTCTCTTCTCTCTCTCTCTCTCTCTCTTTCTCTTTCTCTCCCCCCCTCCCTCCCTCTCCCTCCCTCCCTCCTCCCTCCCTCCCTCCCTCCCTCCCTCCCTCCCTCCCTCCCTCCCTCCCTCCCTCCTTCCCTCCTTCCCTCTATAATTAAAGCAGATACATGGATAGCTATGGAGGCTTAGATAGATTGACGTATTTATTCAAAACTGGCAGTAGAGAGTAAATTGTTTTGTTAAAACTTTGATCACTTTTCCTGGTCATGATTCTTAGACTTTACCCCTCAATGCTACCACTTGTGTTTCCTGCTGTTGTGTTTAAGGCCACAAAGGACAATCAATATTATAATTAATAATAGATCATTTCAGTTCATTTCCAATGAAGCTTTCTCAGAAACTTGGAAATCACACATCCCTTTTCTTTGCAGATGAGGCAGACGACTATGTAGCAGACTCGAAGGGCAAGATCACGTTAACCAGCAAGTCGTCAAACAGCAGCGGGAGCAGCAATGGCGACGGAGAAGGCAGTGGCATCGTGGCGAAAATCTTCTTCCTGATCCTGTTGGTGTCCCTGTCGCTGGTAGTGGGCCTCATTCTGGTTGAGCTGCGAGGCAAGCAGGGTAGGGCATGCTGTGTTTTGCTTGTGGTAGGAGGAGAAGGAAGAACAGGAGGAGGAGGAGGAGGAAATTCTGAAGGAGGAAGAAAAATAAGGAGAGAGAAGGAATGGGGGATAAGAGTATAGGTGGAGGAGGAGGAGGAGGAGGAAGGGGGGGAAAGAGGAAGGAGAAATAATTTGGTGGAGGAGGGGAAGAGGAAAGTACAAAGAAAGAGGAGGAGGAAGAGGTGGAGGGTGGAGGTGGCAGAGGAGGAGGAGGAGCAGCAGCCTGTGGTTTGTTAAATGTGGAGGAACAGGTCAGTCAGCCACATGAGTTGTGAGTGTTCCAGGTTTCCTCTGGTCTTTACAAGTGTTTTTCTACTTGTGATGTATAGACAAGCAAACCCATTTTTTAACAGCAGTTGTAGAGATTTTCCCTATCTTAAAGTCACTTCTTATCTGTGCATTAGTTTACTCACCATCTACTTATTCCTCACATGTTTGTGATCTTTTAGTTTGGTTTTCATTATGCTGTAAGATTTAGATGTGAAGTTTAGACTAACAGTGTGATTTAACCTTTTTTTTAGTGTGCTTTGAAAATAACAGACATTGATGGTAACATTGATTTTAGTTGTTTTCCAAAACAGTTGCTGTTATGATATAATCTATCTAACTTTACCTAAATTAATTGACTTCTGTCACTCACAAGTAATTAGGTAGGAGACAAAGATTGATACCAAAACTTTCAAGTGTTAGTGAACTTACTATTATATTTATTATTATTTTTTAAATATTTTTATTGTCATCTTTAATACAATTTACTAATCAGCATTTCTAGACACGTGCATAAAAAAAGGAATTCTGAATATTCTGAGATCAGTGCGATTAAAAGACACTAATCAAAGCCCTCCATGCCACAGCTGCCATCAAGGAAGCGCCATCCGCGGTGCCCGAAGCGGCAGAGTTCATAAAAGAAGATGAACCTTTAATACCTGAAGAAAGTGCCTCGGTAAGGATGAGCTTTGGGGGCCGTGAGCGCCTTAAGTGTGTGGATGTGGTGTTGGGTGTGGGTGGATCAGAAGGGGGGGGAGGATGAATGGATTGATGAGTAGTCCTGTTTGTCATTTGTCATTTGTCATTCCTAAAAGCAAGAATGAACTATGTAGTGTTTACAGAAGTTATGCATGTAGATTAATATATTATTGTGAAGGTAGTGTTCATGTAGCAGATATCTCTAGCCTTCTGGAAAGAGTCTCTCTTCTAATAGTGTTCAGTTGTTTTGAATCTTGAACTTTGCATAAGCGTTTTTATGTCTTATTGTGGGTGCGAGTCAAGGGACACAAAAGCAAGAATAAAAGGGAACTATTTCATTAATATTATCATAATTACAATAAGCTAAGCAATTATGAAAGCATCAGTTACACTATCCAATCCCTGTAAAAAGGAAAAGAGAATGGATAGTACTATTGACTACAAGCAGACATTACTCATTGAATAGTAATAAAAGCTTTTGTTCATTTTTTGTAATGTGAAAAAAAAACTGCTAATATCTCTTTCAGGAAGTTAGAGCATGCACTTGTTAAATATATAAGTAGAATTAAAATTTTAGATTTTATTTTCTTTATTGATTATGTTCATTGTTATCACTTTCATTGCTTGGGCATGACAGATAGATGAGGTCCCTGCCCCTGAAGTGCCACCTGGCCTACAGGATGACCCAGTTGAAGAATTCGAGCCTATAGAAGCAACGCCACCTCTCGAGGAATACATTAAGGTTGTAGAAGAGGTTGTCGAGCATCCTGAGGAGGAGGAGCCAGTGGAGCCTGCTCCTGTAGAGGAAGTCGTCCCAGAGGAACCTGCTGCAGAGGATGACAGCTTTTTTGAAGCACAAGAGAGTGTGCCAGCGGAAGAGATTGAGGTTGTAGAGATTGTTGAAGAAGTTCCTGTTGAAGTTGTTGAAGTTATTGAGGAGGTGATAGAAGTGCCCATAGAGGAAGTGGAAGAACCTGTGGTAGATGATTCACCTGCAGAGGAGGTTGAAGAGGCTGCACCTGTTGAAGAGGAAGCTGAAGAAGTAATAGAAGAAGTTCAGGAAGAACCTGCATCTGCAGAAGTAGTTGAAGAAGAGTCTGCACCAGTAGAAGTAGTTGAAGAAGAACCTGCACCAGTAGAAGTAGTAGAAGAAGAACCTGCACCTGCAGAAGTAGCTGAGGAGGAACCTGCACCTGCAGAGGTAGCTGAGGAGGAACCTGCACCTGCAGAAGTAGCTGAGGAGGAACCTGCACCTGCAGAGGTAGCTGAGGAGGAACCTGCACCTGCAGAAGTAGCTGAGGAGGAACCTGCACCTGCAGAGGTAGCTGAGGAGGAACCTGCACCTGCAGAAGTAGTTGAGGAAGAGTCTGCACCTGCAGAAGTAGTTGAGGAAGAGTCTGCACCTGCAGAAGTAGCTGAGGAGGAACCTGCACCTGCAGAAGTAGCTGAGGAGGAACCTGCAGAAGTTTTGGAAGAAGCTGTGCCTGTTGAAGTTGAGGATGAAGCTTCCCCAGCGGAAGAGGTACAAGAGGAAGCTGCTGCTGTAGAAGTTCAAGAAGCTGTTGTTCCTGAAGAAGCTGCTGTACCTGCAGAAGTAGTAGTAGAAGCAGTAGAGGAAGTCAAAGAAGAACCCCAAGAAGTCGTTGAGGAACCTGTTGTTGCCGAAGAAGTGCAAGAATTGGATGCACCTGTAGAAGTGGAGGAAGCTGAGGAAACTCTTGCTGCTGCAGAAGATGACGATGATGATGATGATGCAGAGGAAGAGGATGGTGATGAGGAAGCAGATGCAGATGATGAGGATGATGATGATGATGATGATGAAGAAGGAGAAGGAGAAACTGAAGAAGGAAAGGATGACGAAGATGATGATGATGATGAAGTGGAACAAAAAGAGGAAAGAGATGCCAGTATGCAATCCTTGACCAGTGCTTATATTCGTGTAGAAACCCTGGCTGAGGAGATCACAAGTATGGACCCAGAGAACGAGATGGTGAGCCAGCTGACACCTCACATTGCTGGTGTTCTGCGGGCCATGGAGTCAGGCCACACTGCGGGACTGTCCGAGACCCTAGACCACATCCAAGTCATTCTGGAAGATGTCAAAAGGAGGATAGAAGAGGGGGAGCCGGAGGTAAGTTTAGTTTTATTGATGAACCGTTTGGGCAGTTGATGTTGGGAGGTGTAGTTAAGAGAAGGAAAGGGAAATGATGAGTAATTGCAAAAGAATAGAGCACTTTGTAAAGGATTTTAGGTGTGCAAATCTCTCTGGCATTGGGTACTTTGGTGCTAGCTATGAGATGCATGCTAGCGTGAAGTGCAAAGTAATTTGAAAACATTTCATTGATATTTACTCACATAATTTTATTTAACCATTATTGTATTTTCTAAGATAACTAGAAATATTTCAAATATCTATGGTTATATTATTATTAACTTTTTCTTTCTTGTGGTGAAACAGAACTCTGGTTTCTTTCTATTTTTTAAAGATCATTTGTTATTTACTTATAATATTTATTTCAAGGACACTTTAATAGCAGTACTTTAGTATCAGATAATGTAACAAGGAAATAGTACCTTAGAAAATACATAACCATAAGGAAATCCTCTGGCTCAGGTGTTCTTGCTTCCCTGCTGCTTTTTTTCTCTTCTTCCTCCTTCCTTTTTTTGTGTTCTTGCATTTGTTATTGTTCCTATTAAGAACATATGGTTTCTGCAAGTATCCATTCATTGGGGAAACTTATAAGGACTTAAACTAAGATACAGCGATTGCCAGCAGGCCAGAGTAAGGTAAGAAGGTAATTCAAAGGTTCTTGGGTTGTCATTTATATTCAGAAGGGGTTGATATTTAGATCCGTCAACCAGGAGCCTCGTATAATATGATATGATTTGTGATGGAAATTACAATATTTGTATAAATGCAGAAAAGAACATATATTTGATATAATTGCTTTGAATTATTTCCATTTTTATGTTTACAATTTTGTAGTTACAAGATTACTGGGTTTATTTTTTTCTTTTTTTTATAATCTTTTAGAATGAATAAGACTTGCAGAGCCATAGTTTTTTTGATGTCTTGAAAAGTCTTGCTTTAAGATGAAATTCATAATTTTTTTTAAGTTGACATATAGAAGTGCATATTGATATATATATTAATCCTTGTGTGCTTGCATGTGTATCATGCATATTGCTTGCATGTAGCTATCATATAAACTATTCTTATTTATGATTTGAACTGACCATTTTATAGAATCGAATGCTTACTAATATTCTTATTATATTTTCCTCATAGGATTAGCCTCCAGTGATTGTTTTTCTAATGTATTAACACCTCGCCTTTATCTTTTAGCGCGATTACTCTCCCTTTTGACTCTGATTATCACAGGAAGCTGAGGTTGAAATTGACCGTTTGGGGAGCACTGTTCCAGGTCTGTAAGGTGATAATTAGAATTAAATGCGAGTCGTTACTCTGCTGATTGAGGTATTAGGTTACTTCCCTTTTTGGTAACTTGTGGTGTCAGTCGAAGTACAAGCTGTATTAGTGGCTACTGCTAAGGACAGCCTGGGGGACCTCCCAGCTTTTGGCAGCTACTGAGAACTGAACTTGATGAGGCATAGAACTTAGTTCAGCGCTTATTCTCTCACTACCACTTGTTGGCGGTTTGTCTGGTACCGAATTTAACCAGCTGTCTGATTTTCTTTTAAATACTTCCACTGTCATAAGATCGGTAATACTCTTAAAAAGCTTTACCAAGAATGATAGTGAGAAAGTATTTGTGTTTATAACTTCAAAAGGTCAATACATTTAATGAGTTGATTTATCTTGAAAGTTCACAAAGATAATTGGCAAACAAACTCTCACAATTTTTTTAGTTACTCTTTAATTTATGTGGTGTCTACAGTCACAAACCCCCTGCAGTTGCATGTTAACCTTTATATTGCATTTATTACATGAAATGGCTATGTATGAAATAATATTAAGTATGTACATGTAAGTGCACATAAACTGAAAGCTTTTAATATTTCTTTAATATAGCATGAGCAAGCTTTAAATATGAAAAAGATTTCATTTTCTGTGATTCTATCATATAGGATTAGTCACTGGTGATGGTGCATGAGTAAAATTAATGTAGCAATTGAATATTGTACTTAATTTTCTATGTTTTTATGTGATATCATTTAAAATCC